TAATTCATAATTAATAATAGAAAGAAGAAACAAAAGTTCACTTTTAGTTTTTAGAAATAATGTTTGACTTCCTACTTGCCTTCCTACATATATTTTATCATATTTGTATATTTTACTTTTACATATATAGATTTTTGTATTTCATATCCTGCAGAATTTATTTTTTGTACACAGTGTTTTGTATTTTTCTGTCTTGTTTTAAATCATTGATGATCTGTCCAGGTATCATAGTTTTGTGTATTGTACACTGTGTACAATCCTTAACATTATCCCCAGCAGAGCCTTACACCACTGGGAGTTTATGTATCATTCTGTGAATAAATTGAATGAATGAATGAATGCCTAACTTAAGACTAAATTACATTGTTAAATTATTTATTAATTAGTCTAATTATAGTCTGAATGTAATCAAGCTCAGGTAATTGAAAATTTCTTTATTCATATACATATAATATGGTATTTAACTTAGTTTATGGGTTTTAAAATATTCATTATTTAAAATAAATATTTATAGAAAAATATTTAATTTAATATTCTATTACTATAGCTTCTTGCCCCTATTATAACTATTACAATTTATGTGTTACTACACAATTAAACTTTTAGGGCTTATCACACTAAGTTGACAAGAGGAGTTTATTAATTAATCATATAAACTCATTTACATAAATACATTAACTTTTATGCACACAATTACCAATCTAAAATGCATTTCGGGCTTTCAAATGCAAGAAAGGAGCCATAAGAAAGCGCGAAATGCATTTTAGATTGGTAATTGTGTGCATAAAAGTTAATGTATTTATGTAAATGAGTTTATATGATTAATTAATAAACTCCTCTTGTCAACTTAGTGTGATAAGCCCTAAAAGTTTAGTTGTGTAATAACACATAAATTGTAATAGTTATAATAGGGGCACGAAGCTATAGTAATAGAATATTAAATTAAATATTTTTCTATAAATATTTATTTTAAATAATGAATATTTTAAAACCCATAAACTAAGTTAAATACCATATTATATGTATATGAATAAAGAAATTTTCAATTACCTGAGCTTGATTACATTCAGACTATAATTAGACTAATTAATAAATAATTTAACAATGTAATTTAGTCTTAAGTTAGGCATTCATTCATTCATTCAATTTATTCACAGAATGATACATAAACTCCCAGTGGTGTAAGGCTCTGCTGGGGATAATGTTAAGGATTGTACACAGTGTACAATACACAAAACTATGATACCTGGACAGATCATCAATGATTTAAAACAAGACAGAAAAATACAAAATACTGTGTACAAAAAATAAATTCTGCAGGATATGAAATACAAAAATCTAGATATGTAAAAGTAAAATATACAAATATGATAAAATATATGTAGGAAGGCAAGTAGGAAGTCAAACATTATTTCTAAAAACTAAAAGTGAACTTTTGTTTCTTCTTTCTATTATTAATTATGAATTAATTTTAATTTTATAAAAATATTAATATAAAGAATTTACATTTAAGCTCATTTTCTTAATATTATGATAAACTTTTATGGTTTATATCAAAATATTCAATAATTAGCTATTAGCTCATCTAATCTTCTTTTTTTTTTTTGCTTCTTGACATTGGTTCTGTTGCCTACAGCTAATCATTTTGTCTAGTAATTAACTGATAAATAAGTAAAATGTATAGAAACATTGCTGCAATTTCTTATCTGATGGTTATGGCTTTGTTCAAAATTTTTGTAGAGTTTAGAATTTTGACAAATACAATGAAAATATTATTAGCTTTAAAAATATTTGTGATTTTTCATAAATTTAATTGTATTACACTCAATAAATTTTGAAAAAATATTGATTTAGAAGTTCCAGTGCAATTTGAATACATTTTTTTTTTGTACTCTGTTATATGAACACTAAGAGAACCTTTTAATTATACCCATCAAGGATTCTTCAATCAAGCTCATAATGGCTAGGTGGTGAGGAAAAAAGCCATACAAATTTGAGACAGCCTACCCCAGAAAATTCTTGGGGTTATTTGACAGTCTGAATCCAATTCTAGGTCCACAAGAGCATTAGGAAGATGCTTCTTTACCTTGGCTTTCAAGTTTGAATACATCTCAAGAGAGAGAATTTATTTGATGAAAATTTTTATCAATATGGTTTAATTTAAATTATAAAAAATACTAATGATTACAATAATTATTTTTATATTAATATAATAAAAATCATATGAGATTTTAAATAAACTGTTAAAGGAAATAAATGTTATTCGATATATTTATGCATTTTAACATTTATATGTTATTCAGATATATTATTAATGGACTATATCCATAACAGGAGGAATATATGTACAGTACAGGGTGCTCACTTTAACATTTATCCAGGCATAAAAGAAATCTTTTGAAGTCTTCTGAATGGGGAGATTCTTAAGTAAAGGTGGGGAAAGCCTATAAAAGGCCAACTCTGACAACAGTTGATTGTGTTCCAGTGATTGAAAATGGCGTTTAGTCTTCAAAAGATTTTTTTTTGTATAAGTTTTCTATATTGTACAATTTTATACTTTTAAATATAAAATTCGTTAATTACTCCAATATCCATTATTTTGGTTTCACAGATTTATAATGTAACTGTTATGTTACATAGATAATTACAAAATATGAACCTTTAGTACTAACAACAATAAACTAAAATAAACATTTACAAACAAACCTGAATACTCCATTCCAATATTGTTTAACAAAATTCACCTCTCGAAAAGGTATGCCGACAACTCTGCAAACGTATCGAGCATCTTCACTGTCTTTATCTGCTAAACATTGACCCGTCTCGTCAATGACATCCCAATTTCTCATGAAAACACCAATTACTTCATAACCTGCACTGAAACACATTTTATATAACTTAACTCTGTAAATGCCTATATTCAATTATTACTGAAACACGTTAATGATATATCATGTATATTTATAACTTAATATATAATTACTGATAATTTGATTTAAAAAAATAAAAGTTAAATAAGAACCTTTCTTCTTGAGCAAATGAGCGGCCACACCACTGTCCAAACCTCCAGAAACTGCGCAAGCAATCTTTCTAATTTTCATTTTTATTCATTTGTAAGCTTAATTATTTAATTCAAATCTTAATTTCGTTACCATAAATATATTTGCACCGAAATTCCATAGATATTTATTTATGTTATGAAATAACACGTGCTTCTACAGCATCCTTACTCGCGGAATAATTTGAATTCTGGCCACGAGAGGCGCTACAACATTGGCTTTCTATAAATGTATTTTATTTTATTTTATTTTTAAATAAATAAACACGACATAACTGCTTTCTTCCTTCTTTTTATAAGTAGCAGAACAATAATAAAGACANCTCTGGAACAAATTAATCAAATTCCCATAAATACTACGGTAAATCGATAATCAATTAATGAACAATTTGGATAACGAACAAAGTCTTGGAATGGATTATGTTCGTTAACCGATCACTTACTGTATTTTGAATTATCTAACAAAAGTTTGGAAATATTACATTCTAAACCTAAATTTACATTTGTCATAATGTCATCATTTTTGCTATAAAAATGATGTAAATTGTTATAATTTATTAAAGTCTATCAATATGTTTCATGATAAACTATCATTAGAGAATAAACTGTACAATATTTTAAATATCATATACAAAGAGTAATAGGTACAAGAAAGTAACAAAACTAGTCAAAAATATGATATACAGTATAAAAGAAATCTCTCTTCTACTTCAACAAATTGCCCAAATTGAAGAGAGGGATTTCTTTTATACAATGGGTTATTTTTTATTTTATATTATATTTTTCTGTTTAATTTGTGTTGAATGGTAACTTTGCTTTATGTTGTGCACCTGGTAATGATTACCCATAAATACATATATTTTAATATATGCTAGAATGAACAGATTCTATAAGAAATGAGATTCTTGAACCAAATACATTTGTTCTAGTATACCCACCGTATTTTGTTATCTTATAAACACATTTTAAGTTGTTCTATGATGCATCTTTTCTAGTTATTTAAAACTTTATTCTATGAAATGATGCCACTTACTATTTTTAAATTAATATTTTTGAAATTTTTTGTCTTAAAGTAAAACCATTTTGAAATATTTTATGTTTTCATCTTATTATAATATCTCACCAGTTGTACAAACATCTAATGTAACCAAATATTTGGTATTTTAGATATACCTGTCCAGGTGTAAGAGCTCTCTGGGGATTTTCAAATTTAATGAATAATTTATCATCTTCAATTACATCCACTTGACATTTCTCAAGAGGATATCTGTATCCTTGTTGAGTTCTTATTTTACATTTTAATTTCTTAGTTCTTAGTAAATCTTCTGGTACTCTGTTAATCCAATATGGATTCTCAACAATAATAGTATCACAATATAAGCTAGGATGATCACCACCAGGTGCCTGTAATAAAAATATAATATATAAATAATTAAAATTATGTTCTAATGAAAAATATTCTGCTTTAATCTAAAAATTAGGTTTATAAATGTTTGTATTTGAAGCTTTATAGTAAAAATAGTAATTAATTAAAAATAAATTGTTTCATATTTTACTTGCCACTAAAATATCTTGTGATAATGGATTCTTTTCTGCAACAAAATATGCAACTTTACAACCAGGCAACAAACATCTTTGGCCTAATGTCCATTGATGAATACCTAAATTGTTGCATATATAAATATTAGAGGTTTGTAAAAGTGTTTTAAAGTAAGTTAGTCATTAAGTAAAAATTGCAATAACTAACCTGTATGCTGTCCAACAATGGAACCTGTTTCAATATCAATAAAGTTTCCAACTGATGGTTCTATGTAATCATTAATAAATTTCTGGAAATTTCTTTTTCCAATGAAACAGATGCCGGTGCTCTAAAAATACTGAATAATTATCATCAATGTCATAATTAGAAACAACAAATTATATTGCATATCAAAAACTAGATATAATTTTTAAAATAATTCATCCTTACATAAAGAAAAATTAAATTAAGTAAGATTTAATTATCTATATAAATAAAAATGTATATGTTCATTTGCTCAAAATCTTAAATCTCTGAAACTTCTACACTGATTGCTTTGAAATTTTGAAACAATGTTGCATTTGAATACATGCATGTTTTTATATTATATAGATGTCGAATTCCCCCCGTGGGTTAGAGGGACAGGATTAAGGCTTACCGTAAAGAACTCTGCTTCTATTATACTATTTTAGATGTGGTTTTTTGCATTTTTGATTGCATTTTAATAGGGTATGTCAAGAGAATGTACACTAAGAAGGAATTTTTCAAAATTCTCCCTTGTGGGGAGTGTTATACATTTATAATAGATTTTGAGCCACAGCAACGTGTGGCTGGGTACAGCTAGTAGACTATAAAAAGATTGTTTTAGTAAAGATTTATAAAATTGTTATTTATTTATATATTGCATTGAGATTTTGTTATGAGATATTGTAATAAGATTTTATAATTCAAGTTATTTAATTAATAAGAAAATGAATGTTGTAAATTGTTATTTCAATTTCAGAAACAGTGATTAATTTTTAAACTATGACTAAAATAAATTTTGACAGAATGAATTAGCACATGTTGATCTTACGGATATACAAGACTTGCCTGAATTTTGTCCATTATGGTGGATATAATCCATAATGGAATCAGTATGGGTGAAGGATGAGGCATGAGGAAAACCTGTAAAAATTTTGAGGATCTTTACAGGTCTATGAACCTGATTCTTAAAATTTATGTGAAATAATATATTGCTGAATATTCATCTAATTAAAAAGTTTTTAGAATATGCCACAAAATAATTTAAAAGTTTTTGGTTAAATTTCCAAGATAAAATTATAATTCTGAAAATATTAAATGTTAATTTCATAGAAGGTCAATCACAAATATACTAATATTCAAAATATAGAGTTATTCAACATTGGTAATTGTTGATATACAGTGGTACCTCAGTATACGTCTGCTTTAGAATATGTCCAATTTGGAATACGTCCTGTTTGGACGAAACAAATTTTGTTCGGTATACGACTTAATTCAATTATACTCGCCATCTACGAACAAGTAGCACTATCAGTGTATTAGACCAGACTACACGTTCTCTGTGCCACAGTTTATAACTTTGTTAAATTTCTTTTTATTTTAATTTGTAAATAAAATATTATTTTTATTAATCATGAATTGCAAAAAGGCAACAGAAAAATAAAAAAATGACTAGAATCACAATGGAACTGAAAAAAGAGATTGTTGAGGAATATGAAGGTGGCATGCATGTTCGAGATTTAACTGTTGCATACCATATTCTGAGAACGATAATATCGACAATCATGAAAAGTAAAGACATTATTAAATCTGCTAACGTTGCGAAAGGGGTTAAATCAATTTCTAAACAGAGATCGAAGACATTAAATCATGTTGAGAAATTGCTTTTGCTTTGGATAACTGAAAAACAGTGTACTGGCAACATCATATCAGAAGCAATTATTTGTGAGAAAGCTAAAAAGATACATGCTGATCTCATAAAAAATCAAGCAGGAACTAGACAGGAAAGTGAGGTGTTTAAAGCCACCCATTTTTTTTTTTACATGAGAACGAATTAATCATTTTTACACTACTTCTTTTGGGAAAGGTTGGTTTGGTATACGTCCTATTCGGTATAAGTCCAAACACCAGGAACGGATTAAGATCGTATACCGAGGTTCCACTGTATATTTAAAAAATTATTACTGTTTAATAGTGATATTTAATCTTATTAAGAACATTGCTAATATATTAATTAGTATTAATAGTTTCTCTTGTTATGATTATCTTCATCCTCAATTATTAATCACAAACAATAGAAACAAGTATTGATGTTCTTAGTAGTTTATCATTTAAGGTTCAGAATTTATCCACTACTCTTTAATCAGAATGATGTTTGTTTTCTTTCATTTCTTTTCTTTTTTTATATAAATAGTCTACATAGTGTATATAACAAAATTATGAACTTACTACTCCTTGGTTATAGTGTTATCCATTATACTGCAGATTGATTTTTTTCCTGGAAATTTTAACATTAAGAAAAACATGCATTTTAACATATTGCACTTGCTACTTGTATATCACTAAATACATGTTAGAATCTGTTAGTTGTATATACATGACCAACTATTTTTCCCATTGCTCTTTTTAATTTTGTAACTAATTACTCTATCTGTCATACACAATAGTATATTACATAAAAAGTTGGCAATAACTGTCAATATTAACAGCTTTGCCAACTTAAATAGTATGGTACATTGCATATAACATACAAGAACTGTCATGTAAAACCTGTGCTCTGGCAAATTCACTGATATCAAATTTTTCTTGTCGTCACTTTGACCCCACTGTATCTCAAAAACAGTGTAATAAAAACAAAGTCAAGGACCCTAGTTTTTATTACATATTTGGATTCCTCATCACAATCTATGGAAAATGGCAAAATCAAGCCATCAAATTTTGAGATTGAATGCAATTTTGTAAGCATACAGAAGCTTTGCTAACACTCTACCTCAAATATTATAAATGAAACAATGTTTATGATGGTAATAGTACAAATATTAAATGGAGTAATTAGTCAATTACAGAATTAATAATTTTGAGAAGAATTAAAATATCTTATAACTCAAAACAGCATCCTCATACAAACTTTGCAATATAATTGAAGATCAGTTTATTAACATGTTCACGCTGTTACAAGGCACATGTGACTTGCATGGACATGTCTAATTAGGGCAACAGACATAATTGCTTGTTTTTCCGTAGGGCGGCGCATATGTTTTGATAACATAATTCTACAAACATCATACTTGATATATCAATATTATTTTATTACATGCAATAAAATATATTAATTTAATAGTATGAAGCATGGATGACTCGTGCCGCCCTGTATTAAAATAGACTATGAGTCACCCGTGACTCGTAATGCCCAGCAGCTGCCTAAACATTTATCTACTGATGCCGTGAACGTGTGAAATATAGATGGGAAGAGGGCCAAGTCAATTAATGCATCAGACTACTGTTCTGTGAGATGCAGGACTAGGTCCAGGCAAGCAAACAGTCTTTTCATTGGCAGTGTGTTTCAGATATGTCTAGCTCCATCCCTCACCACCTTGTTATTCCCATTGTGTGGGTCTGGCCAAACCCATGATCAGCATGGAAAAAGGCTATCTTAGTGCCCACAGTGCAGAAAGAGTTAAAAATGGAAAACAAAATGTAATATGATTATCATCACCTTTTTCTTTTTTAGTATCTTCGTTAGTGAAATTTCAGAAGCAATTTTTTGAACATCTTTCCTCATTAATCCACCAACTGGAAAGAGAGACTTCTGAAGTGCTTCTTGAGGTATCTGTGATAAAAATAATGTTTGATCTCGAAAGTCATCGACCGCCCGTAATAATCTTGCACCTAAAAATATATTATATTTGGTGTCAATAAACAATAAAATATATTTGAAGATTTGTAAAAATTATTTATAATTTATTTTTGTATCATATTAAATATATAGTAATATGGAATGAAAATAGTAAGTTCTAAATTTATATACATTTTATAAATACCTTTATGAGGATCATAATTTTCAAGATCTTCTCCAAAACTAGTCTGTGCATAATGACCTGTTGCAATAGCATCCACTTTAAGTTGATTAATCATATACTTCCAAAAAATACCAAATTTAATTCTTTTATTGCATAAAACATCTGGATTTGGTGTTATGCCTTTTTTATACTCATCAATCATTTCACTAAATTCAAAAATATAGAAATTTAAATTATTTTAAGTAGAATATTAAGTATTGTAATTTTTGTATTACTATACAATTAAACTTTTAGGGCTTATCACACTGACTGAGTTGACAGGATGAGTTTATTAATTAATCATATAAACTCATTTACATAAATACATTAACTTTTATGCACACAATTACCAATCTAAAATGCATTTCGGGCTTTCAAATGCAAGAAAGGAGCCATAAGAAAGCGCGAAATGCATTTTAGATTGGTAATTGTGTGCATAAAAGTTAATGTATTTATGTAAATGAGTTTATATGATTAATTAATAAACTCCTCTTGTCAACTTAGTGTGATAAGCCCTAAAAGTTTAATTGTGTAGTAACACATAAATTGTAATAGTTATAATAGGGGCAAGAAGCTATAGTAATAGAATATTAAATTAAATATTTTTCTATAAATATTTATTTTAAATAATGAATATTTTAAAACCCATAAACTAAGTTAAATACCATATTATATGTATATGAATAAAGAAATTTTCAATTACCTGAGCTTGATTACATTCAGACTATAATTAGACTAATTAATAAATAATTTAACAATGTAATTTAGTCTTAAGTTAGGCATTCATTCATTCATTCAATTTATTCACAGAATGATACATAAACTCCCAGTGGTGTAAGGCTCTGCTGGGGATAATGTTAAGGATTGTACACAGTGTACAATACACAAAACTATGATACCTGGACAGATCATCAATGATTTAAAACAAGACAGAAAAATACAAAACACTGTGTACAAAAAATAAATTCTGCAGGATATGAAATACAAAAATCTATATATGTAAAAGTAAAATATACAAATATGATAAAATATATGTAGGAAGGCAAGTTACATTTTTTTAGAAGTCAAACATTATTTCTAAAAACTAAAAGTGAACTTTTGTTTCTTCTTTCTATTATTAATTATGAATTAATTTTAATTTTATAAAAATATTAATATAAAGAATTTACATTTAAGCTCATTTTCTTAATATTATGATAAACTTTTATGGTTTATATCAAAATATTCAATAATTAGCTATTAGCTCATCTAATCTTCTTTTTTTTTTTTGCTTCTTGACATTGGTTCTGTTGCCTACAGCTAATCATTTTGTCTAGTAATTAACTGATAAATAAGTAAAATGTATAGAAACATTGCTGCAATTTCTTATCTGATGGTTATGGCTTTGTTCAAAATTTTTGTAGAGTTTAGAATTTTGACAAATACAATGAAAATATTATTAGCTTTAAAAATATTTGTGATTTTTCATAAATTTAATTGTATTACACTCAATAAATTTTGAAAAAATATTGATTTAGAAGTTCCAGTGCAATTTGAATACATTTTTTTTTTGTACTCTGTTATATGAACACTAAGAGAACCTTTTAATTATACCCATCAAGGATTCTTCAATCAAGCTCATAATGGCTAGGTGGTGAGGAAAAAAGCCATACAAATTTGAGACAGCCTACCCCAGAAAATTCTTGGGGTTATTTGACAGTCTGAATCCAATTCTAGGTCCACAAGAGCATTAGGAAGATGCTTCTTTACCTTGGCTTTCAAGTTTGAATACATCTCAAGAGAGAGAATTTATTTGATGAAAATTTTTATCAATATGGTTTAATTTAAATTATAAAAAATACTAATGATTACAATAATTATTTTTATATTAATATAATAAAAATCATATGAGATTTTAAATAAACTGTTAAAGGAAATAAATGTTATTCGATATATTTATGCATTTTAACATTTATATGTTATTCAGATATATTATTAATGGACTATATCCATAACAGGAGGAATATATGTACAGTACAGGGTGCTCACTTTAACATTTATCCAGGCATAAAAGAAATCTTTTGAAGTCTTCTGAATGGGGAGATTCTTAAGTAAAGGTGGGGAAAGCCTATAAAAGGCCAACTCTGACAACAGTTGATTGTGTTCCAGTGATTGAAAATGGCGTTTAGTCTTCAAAAGATTTTTTTTTGTATAAGTTTTCTATATTGTACAATTTTATACTTTTAAATATAAAATTCGTTAATTACTCCAATATCCATTATTTTGGTTTCACAGATTTATAATGTAACTGTTATGTTACATAGATAATTACAAAATATGAACCTTTAGTACTAACAACAATAAACTAAAATAAACATTTACAAACAAACCTGAATACTCCATTCCAATATTGTTTAACAAAATTCACCTCTCGAAAAGGTATGCCGACAACTCTGCAAACGTATCGAGCATCTTCACTGTCTTTATCTGCTAAACATTGACCCGTCTCGTCAATGACATCCCAATTTCTCATGAAAACACCAATTACTTCATAACCTGCACTGAAACACATTTTATATAACTTAACTCTGTAAATGCCTATATTCAATTATTACTGAAACACGTTAATGATATATCATGTATATTTATAACTTAATATATAATTACTGATAATTTGATTTAAAAAAATAAAAGTTAAATAAGAACCTTTCTTCTTGAGCAAATGAGCGGCCACACCACTGTCCAAACCTCCAGAAACTGCGCAAGCAATCTTTCTAATTTTCATTTTTATTCATTTGTAAGCTTAATTATTTAATTCAAATCTTAATTTCGTTACCATAAATATATTTGCACCGAAATTCCATAGATATTTATTTATGTTATGAAATAACACGTGCTTCTACAGCATCCTTACTCGCGGAATAATTTGAATTCTGGCCACGAGAGGCGCTACAACATTGGCTTTCTATAAATGTATTTTATTTTATTTTATTTTTAAATAAATAAACACGACATAACTGCTTTCTTCCTTCTTTTTATAAGTAGCAGAACAATAATAAAGACAAAAAGTTAACGGTAACTTTAAATCAGTTTGAAAAACTCTCTGGCATATAAGCCTATTGTGCCGACACCGGTCAATTCAAATACCTCTTTTGTCGCATCATTAGTATATCTCAAAGGACGCGACAGGGCTGTTGTAGGTTTTAAACTAGCTATAAAAATAGTTAAATAGCTTTAAAATCTAAATACTCGTATGTTAAACTTAATAGTCATTTGTTTTTTAACTAATTCGTTTTAGGACCAGGTGTCGTCCACGGAAATTTCCAAAATTTACAACTTTTCGGTCAATCTCGTTAAACTGGAAAAATTTCTGTCTTTATTACATCTAATACAGTATTTCGAAGAAATCAGTCTCCACTGTACTCGGCTATAGATTGGTTCGGTTAAGCTTTTGTTTAAGTAATATTCCGGCTCTTTCACCGGCTCTTTCATTTGTTTATGTCCCCAATTCCCTAATCGCTTAATTACTTAACTACTTCTTAAGTAGAAATAAGTCGAAACCAGTTACTTTGTACTCGAATATTTGTAGTCTCGGGAAAAAAGTGGAAAGACAAATTTTTATGACAAACGGATACATAAATCGTAAATTTAAGGAAAATAAATTCTAGAGCTTTTTCTGTACCTGGTGCATTTCTTTCATTCATTAAATTTAGTTGTAAATGACGCTGTCAAAGTAACAGTTAATTTTTAACATTATACAAGATTACAAGTTTTTCTTCTACATCCCCTTAAAAATGGGATATACGAAATCGTAATATCACTGGTTTAACATCGAAATCCGTGAGTAATATAAAATCGGAGAGCGGAATAAAAATATCAAATATTTTAATGGATTTTTTAAACTCCCGTCAATTATACAGAACTATCGTAAAAACATACCAGTAAATTCTTATCGGTTGGGTTAAGTTATAAATCTACTCGTTATTCAAGTAATCGGCCAAATATCTAGCGGGCGGGCGGCTAACGGCCCAGAACCGGTCCTGGAGAGAATTGGACGCGTTATATGTGTAAGATCAACCCGAGGTCGTAGGCTTCCCCGGCTAAACCGAGTGAGTTTGGTGCTCTGTAAAGCGCGTGCGCAAATCTGGCTTTTTGGAATCTGACAATACAGAGATTCCACTCCACCACTAATATTCGAATATACAATAGCAATTTTTTTTTTTTTTCACGTGTAGTATAGAAATTTGTAATAAGATACATAAAGCGGTTCTAATAAAATATTGTGCGATTATTTTCATTTAATTAAAATTAATATGTATTTATTTTTTTATAAAATACAAGGGAAGCGGCGCTTCCACCGCTTCTAATGACGGCACGCCACTGGTCGTGAAGGTAGGATGCCCCAATTAAGTATGTACAAACTTCCAATTTGCACCGAATTCACATGAAAAATGTGAAAACAGTGACAAATAGCATGGCAAGAAAGTTTCGCCCATTTCCTCCAAGCCATAATATGAGCACTGGATAGTGTGTTATACGTCAGATCGAAGACCAAGAAAGAACAGACTGCAATCAATACCACATAATAAAACGAAATTTATTGGTCTGGAAAAGTTAACAATACTTTGTATGAAGTACAGTAATAAAAGTACCAAAGCAACAACCATCTTGGGACTTTCCAAGCATCAAAAGAAATATCATTTACGCACATCAAAGTATGCAGTATTATAAATGTAGGAAAAACATAAATAAACGAATTGTCTAATCACCAAAACAAAACGTACAAATGTATTTGAGAGATTTTCTTTGCTGACTGCATCGCACAATCCAAAACATACATGGTATCGGAGCCATTCCGATTGGTAGAATTTTTCGCGACGCAAAACTGCACTTCATCTCCAGTTCGACATCCGGCACACGAAACGGTTCTCACTAGCGTTCATTATGTGGAGTTCTGTGTCGGAAGAATTAATACATCCGGTTGACTGCCTCTTGCGCTATCGCCTACCTGTCGCCTTTTTCCAGTCTCGGATTCGTCCTCATGGACAGTTGCGGATGATGTTTGAGGAACTGTGTGAATCACTTGCTCCCAGAGGATTGTTTGTCTCGCAGAAAGGGATGCGGACGTTGTTTAGACGTGCCAGTTGGAATGCCATTCGCTTTACGTTATCTACAATAAGCCCAAAATAATTCTTCTCCATTTCAATACAGTAGAAAATCAACTCGTCCCCGAAACATGTTTGAAAACTGATGATGGTCTGACAATCGTCTTGCACTTACCTCCCTCATGCTATTTCATTCCAAGCGCTTATCACTTCCACATCAGACCATCAGATCAGGAGCGACAAGTGACGGCATGCTTTTTGTATGTTGAAATTTCATGCTGGCTTATCGACCCATATTTTTGAGTCATATAGACCTTACACAAACAATTGTACCATTGACTGTATTCTTTTGCTCATGTAGCAGCAAAATAGTTTCCGGTTTCTCTCTTTTCCATAAGTTGACTGACAACGGTGTGATTTGTGATTAAAGTATTTATGCTTCTATTCTATTTATTTCTTCCTTACTTGTAATTTGACTTCTGTATTTATTAACTCATCAATCGAATTTCTATATATTACAAAAATGTTTATAATAAGCGTTTAAACTTTGAACCTGTTTTGTTTTCTCGCCCTGCCAGGGATTATTTTGTATTTGTTGAATATATCACTGTTGCAAGTTATGTGTTCACAGATAGTGAGTAGGATACCTTACAAGTAAGTTTAAAAATCATACACGACTACTTTGATCCGTTTCAAGGTCATACCGAACCAAAAAGTGGCGGGCTTGATAAAAGACGCCACGTCATGGCAGTTTATTTGTTAGTAAAATAATACAAAAGTTATATGACACGAAGCGTTGCTACAGAATACAAATACAAAAGTTTATATAACACAAATCATTGCTACACACATAGGTAATGACAGGAGAGAAATTTAACACTCCCCTCAATAATTTGTCCCATTTTGCTTACAGTGCAAGTGGTCTAGCACATTGAACGTGTTTTTCAGTACACACTGGTTTTGTTAAAATGTGTGCTACCATTTCCTTGGTAGGGCAGTACATAATACATACATTCCCATTCTTCAATTCATTTCTTACAAAATAATATTTGACATCAATATTGTTAAATTACTGTATGCGACTTTCGATCTGTGTTATCTCCTATCGTCATGGCCGTTTATTTGTTAGAAAAAATAATACAAAGGTTATATAACAGAAATCATTGCTACACAGATAGGTAATGACAGGAGAGAAAGTTAACAATATTGCATCTAAATTGTCGTTTCTATTTAGTTTTTAATTATTGTTCTTATAAATATTGTGATGAATATTTCTTGTACTTATTAACTATTACAGACATTTTGTTTAATCTGTTACTACTTAAAGAATTTACAACTATAAAACTTCTTGTCCTTTATCAATAAATACTGTACCGTACATCTTTTATCCTGCTAGAAAAACAGTTTTGAAAACTTGTTTTTCCAACGGATAGTTTTTAAAGGTTTCTAATTTTCAAGATCTACCAAGTCTAGTTTATATTAATATTATAATGATTTCTCTATCGAAGAAAAAAAAACGGTACCTCGTAAAATGAAATCCGTATTTTACTTTTTCTTTCTCTAATCTATTTTATGACATTTTACGACTTCAGATTTTCTAGAAACCTAGGGATAAATCATTACCAAAAATGATGTATGGTGATATATATATAACTACTCTTTTAAATATTCTGAAATTTAACGCTACACATTACAAGCATATGCAAGCTTACGTGCTTACAATTATTTCATCAACGGAAAAATTCGGGATATTTTGACGTATTCATCGAATGAAGTACACTAGATATGTCTTATGGAAAAGTAGAACCTGCCCAATATCAATTGAAAAACGAAGAGAAATATATCAGTTTTGCTTCACTTGTAAACAGGAAGACAAAATTCTTGCTAGACATTGTTTATGCATGGCTGAATAAGTCCGTTTTTTCAATACAAATGAAACACGCATTTCACAAGTATAAAGCTTTCATCTGACAGTATAAGATATTTTTTAAATATATAATTAATTAATTGCTGTATTATTACAGAATTGAAGAAAATACCACTTTAACGGAAATAATTTTGCTCCTACTCAAACTGTACATGGGCAATTGCAATTTCTTTTAAAATATCAGTTACGGAAAAAAACAAAACAAACATAATTATTAAATTTATTAAATACTAAATACATTTAATGGAAATGTATTAAAATTACATCATACTGTATAATTATAACAGACTTGAAATGGATTTTAGGATTTTAATTTCCTTTTCAGGCAAATCTGCATTTTGAATACATTCTTCTCATTACCAACGATTTGAATAAACAAATACAAATTTATTTTAATGAAATAACGATATTTTATGTGTAATAATTATATTTTACACGTTGTCCATTATACTCTCTCTAGGATAAGGCGACATTGCTGGGGGGGGGGAAGACAATACCATCGTGAAATCTACATATTAACTTAAAAAGTAATTTCCAGCGTAATATAGAATTTGAAATTGGTAAACTTACTTGGAGCACAAAAACGGCGGCATTCCTCTAAATTTTGGAAATTGTTTCTGTTTCCGCCACATCCACCATAAACGAATAGCAGGCAACCACGAGTAAAAACATTATAATAAAAACGAAGTGTTAATCTGTGACATGGTCCTTTATCAGGCCGAAGATTACATACCTTTTGTCTTTCTAAATTCAGAATTAATTCAAATTAATGAAAATATGAATATTCTAATGGCACGAAAAAAAAAAAGCGATTCTTAACTTGAGCATCGGTATTGATGCAAAGAATTAATATAACGATGCAAACCACTTTTGTATTCATAGCTATTGATATATTATATATTTACTCGCCTTTATTTATACTGCGATTTTTATAGCTGGAAATTATATACCTGACACGCAGATATATTGACACATTTATCATCATTAAATTTCATAATAATATCGCGATATTATAAACAACTTTCACATGTTTTAAGGCTAAAAAATAGGAATTTATTCATAAATAATTTCAAAGAATTCCATTTATTTCAAAGCGTTAATCATGCACGTGTCGATTAAAGTGCAAGCCTGGAAATCGAATCCGGGAGAGCCAATCCTCAGGACTTTTTTATGGGGCGCCAGATAAATTGGCGTACGGCCATAGGATTCGGCTGCAAAGTGAAGTTTACGCCTATTTATTTTAAACACGGAGACGTTAAAAGCGGCACAGAAGATTGCTTACGAAATTATGCAATGAGTACGAGAAATAAAACGAGTTATCGGATAATGAAAATACTGTATTATAAAGTTAAGTCTAATCGAACAAAAGGCGAAATTGATGCTAATAGTTGAGGTCAAAGTTAGAGAAATACTTTTGACAGAAACTAAGGATAATGATATCACTGAGCCAGAAATAAATGAATCGGAAACACATCGATAAATGGATTATGCACAGTAAAATGAGTAGTCTTAAAGCAAAAGTTGAGAATTCCGTTCAATCAGTGGCGTGCCGTCATTAGAAGCGTTGGAAGCGCCGCTTCCCTCGTATTCTCTAATAAATAAATAAATAAATATTAATTTTAAATGAAAATAATCGCACAATATTTTATTATAACCGCATTATGTGTCTTATTACAAATTTCTATACTACACGTGGAAAAAAAAATTGCTATTGTATATTAGAATATTAGTGGCGGAGTGGAATCTCCTGTATTTTCAGATTACGAAAACCCAGATTTGCGCACGCGCTTTACAGAGCACCAACCTCACCCGGTTTAGCCGGTGGAAGCCTACGACCTTGGGCAGAAGCTGCACACATATAAATATTCAAATTCTATCAAGGACCGGTTCTGGGCTGTTAGCCGCCTGCCCACTAAATATTTCGATTACGTGAATAACGAGTAGATTTATAACTTAACTCAACCGATAAGAATTTACTGGTATGTTTTTACGATAGTTCTGTATAGTTAACAGGAGTTAAAAAAATCCATTAAAATATTTGATATATTTATTCCGCTCTCCGATTTTATATTACTCACGGATTTCGATGTTAAACCAGTGATATTACGATTTCGTAC